GTCTGATGATGAACATCTTAAAGTGTCTCAAAAAAGGAAAAACATTGTGACTGTTAAAAAGAACAAAAAAACGAGAAAACCGATCATGAGGAAGACCCCAGAGTCAGAGAGGGACTTCTCTTTTACCCAGGACTCTCAGTCGCCGTACTCCCCGGCTCAGATCAAAACCTTCCTGGCACAGATTAAAGGCTCCAGGCAGCCCAATATAAAAGAGTATTACCCAGACCTGCGCTCTTTTATGAAGTCTGCCAGACCCCTCACCAGGAAGAGCCATGGGGAGGAGGTTTTAACAGAACAAGAGGTCTTCAGACTCAAAAAGGTTTTAGGGAGGGTAAAAGAGCAATTCATCAGTGACGAAGATGAGTTTGAGATGCTTTTACCCTTCACTGACTGTTCTCCTGAGTGTTTTTTATTTTTTATCCATGTGTGATTTTAATATCAGCACCTTAAACCTGAACGGGGCCAGGGCTGATTTTAAACGCGCCGCTCTTTTTAAATTAATGGAGACTAAAAAAATAGATATCATTTTTGTCCAAGAAACCCACAGCAGCTTAGATAATGAGAGTGACTGGAAGAGGGCTTTTAACAGCACAGTTGATCCATCCCTGGACAGGAACCATCCTGAACCACACCCACCCTCATCACACACACTCCGGCGGCTGACAGAGAGTCAGGAGCTGAGTGATGTGTGGAGGGTTTTTAACAGTCAGCAAAGACAGTTCACCTGGAGTCACAGTAGGGAGGGGGTTTTAACTCTAGCCAGACTGGACCGTTTTTACTCTTTTAAACACCATTTAAACATTTTTAAAAGGTGTTTAATGCTGCCAGTTGGTTTTACGGATCATTTTTTAGTCTCCTGTCGTGTTTTTATTAAAAACATTCGTTTAAAGAGCGCCTATTGGCATTTTAACACAGCCCTTTTATCTGAGCAGGCTTTTAGAACTGCTTTTAGGTTTTTTTGGGAATCCCACAGAGAGAGCAGGCCTGCCTTCACTAACATACAACAGTGGTGGGATTTTGGGAAAGCCCAGATAAAACAGCTCAGCCAGCAGTTCACTCGCGGTGTCACTACAGACTTAGCTCGGTCCATTAAAGACCTGGAGTCACAGGTGGTAGAGCTGCAGACTACTGCAGACTCTACAGCAAATCGAGGGCTTTTAGACTCCCTCAAGTCCAAAAAGTCGGCATTAGCCAACCTGCTAGGCGTCTCAGCACAGGGGGCTCTGGTCAGGTCTCGTTTCATGAACATCACACAGATGGACGCCCCATCTCGCTTCTTCTTTGGGTTGGAGCGGAAAAATGGACAAAGGAAGACCATTCACTGTTTACGGACGGGTTATGTACCGTGACGTTGCGAGCATACTCAAGATTAATGGTGGTCTGGCTGCTCCCTTCTGCGTACAAAGAGGGGTTCGACAGGGTTGCTCCTTATCAGGAATGCTCTATTCTCTAGCGATAGAACCGCTATTAGAAAGAATGAGGAGGACTCTGACAGGAGTTCTGTTCCCAGGATGTCCTTCAGCGATAAAACTGACAGCATACGCTGACGACATCATGGTGGTTTTAAATACACAGAAAGACATTCAGGTTTTAGAGGACAAAGTAAATCTTTTTAACAAACTGTCTTCAGCCAGGGTCAACTGGGCCAAGAGTGTGGCCTTCACCACAAACAGGGACTCCTTGGGGGGGCTGGTTCTTCCTGGGGGGCTCCAGTGGACAGTGGGGGGGCTTAAATATCTTGGGGTGTTTTTAGGGGATGAACAGTTTTTAAAGAGAAACTGGGAGGGGGTCCTTGAGGCTGTTGAGGGCCGACTGAAGAGGTGGAGGTGGTTGCGGCCGTCCATGTCGTACAGGGGGAGGACCCTGATCATTAACAACCTGGTGTCGTCCTTCCTGTGGCACAGGTTGGCTGTTGTCGACCCTCCCCCTAACCTGCTCTCCAGGGTCCAGACTGTTTTAATTGACTTTTTCTGGGACAAGCTCCACTGGCTCCCACAGGCGGTGCTGTTCCTCCCTGTGGAAGAGGGAGGTCAGGGGCTGGTGCACCTGGCCAGCAGGGGGGCAGCGTTCAGACTACAGTTTATCCAGCGGCTGCTGTACGGGCCCCAGGACCTGGTGTGGAGGCCCCTGGCTCGGCTGATTCTGCGGAGCGTGGGCGGCCTCGGCCTACAGGAGTCTGTGTTTTTATTGGATTTTAAGACTGTGAGTTTTTTATCCCTGCCAGTGTTTTACCGAGGTGTGTTCAGCGTGTGGAAGCTGCTGTGGAGGCAGAGGGTCCAGCACCAAACCTGCTGCTGGCTGCTGAAGGAGCCGCTGGGCCGTGGAGGCCTGCTGAGCAACCCCCCCTGGGCAGGAGCAGCGGTGGCCGAGGACCTGAGGACAGCGGGGATCACCACGCTGGGGACCCTGCTGGACATCACCGGACCCGACCTGCAGGAGACGGAGGAGCTGGCGAGGCGCTTGGGCTGGAGATCGAGGAGGAACATGAGCCGACTGCTGAGCCACTGGAGGACCTGCCTGACGGGACGAGACCGGCAACTGCTGGGAGAACAGCGACAGGAACGGACTGCCCCCTGTCCCAACCTACCGTTCCCCCCCCTCATCATCCGTCCGGGACCAGACCTGCAGCAGGAGGTGAGCCTGGAGAAGGCCGAGGGAAAGGCTCTCTCGGCTCTGATGGTGAGGACGATAAACCGAGAGAGACTGCAGCAACACATCCGGTCCCCCTGGAGGGCTCGGCTGGTCCTGGGGGACAAGGTCCAGGCTGAGTGGAGGAGCCTGTACAAGCCTCCACTCTCCAAGAGGGTGGCTGACCTCCAGTGGAGACTAATTTATGGGATTTTAGCTGTAAACTCTTTTATTTCCATCATGAACTCAGCAGTCCAGAACAACTGTCCGTTCTGTGGAGCAGTGGAGACCATCATCCACTGCTTCACTGAGTGTCCTCGCCTCGCTCCTCTGTTCACACTGATGGACTGTGTGTTCAGGAGAGCAGACGAGGTGTTTTCTTTTAAGACGTTCATTCTTGGTTTTAAATACAAAAGAGCTCAAAAAGAAAAATGCCAAATGTTGAACTTTGTGCTGGGACATTCAAAATTGGTGATCTACATGAGCAGGAAGTTGAAAGTGGAGGACGGTGTGGACTGTGACCCGGTGCTGCTGCTGAGCAGAACCATCAAAGCGAGGATTCTGATTGACTTCAAGTACTACAGAGAAATGCAGAACATGCTGCGGTTTTATCAAACATGGACCCATGGTGGAGTACTGTGCTCAGTTAAAGATGGTGGACTGGAGTTTTCAGATCAGCTGGTCTGATCTGGTTTTATCTATTGTTTTATTTAAAATATATATATATATATATATATATATATATATATATATATATATATATATATATATATATATATAAATATATATATTTATATATATATATATATATATATATATATATATATATATATATATATATATATATATATATATATATATATTTATATGATTCTGAATTGATGTTATAAAAAATGACTTGAATAAAGTTGTGTTGAAAAATCAAAAAAAAAAATCTCTCCCTCTCTCTCTCTCCCTGTCTCTCTCTCTGTCTCTCTCTCTCGCTTTCTCTCTCTCTCTCCATCTCTCTCTCTTACTCTCTTCCCCTCTCTCTCTCTCTCTCTCTCTCTCTCTCTCTCTCTCTCTCACGCTGTCTCTCTCCCTTTCTCTCTCTCCTCCCCCTACTTATCTCTCTCTCTCTCTCCCTGTCTCTCTCTGTCACTCTCTCTCTCTCTCTCTCTCTCTCTCTCTCTCTCTCTCTCTCTCTCTCTCTCTCTCTCTCTCTCTCTCTCTCTCTCTCTCTCTCTCCCTGTCTCTCTCTGTCACTCTCTCTCTCTCTCTCTCTCTCTCTCTCTCTCTCCCTGTCTCTCTCTGTCACTCTCTCTCTCTCTCTCTCTCTCTCTCTCTCTCTCTCTCTCTCTCTCTCTCTTTGTCTCTCTCTTAGTGTTCGGTCATGGAGAACTCTTTAGTTTCAAATTTTTGAGTGTCCAGATTGTGTTTGGCTGTAATATTTTATAACGACAGACAGTAACTTGGTTTCATACTGGTTTGTTTGTATTTTTGTTGTTTTGGTTTTTGTTGTTGATGCGATCCGCTCTGTGGTATTTTAAATAAAGGGCTTTTTAAAATAAAAAATATCTCTCTGCCTCCTCATCTCTCTCTCTCTCTCTCTCTCTGCCTCCTCATCTCTCTCTTTCTATCTTTTTGTCTCTCTCTCTCTCTCTCTGCCTCTCTCTCTCTTTCTCTGTCTCTCTCTCCCTCCCTTGTTGTGCTCAATAGCAGGAAATATTTTACAGTTTGAAGATGTGGTCATGTCATTTTTTATTTATTTATGTATTAATTTTTTGACTGTGTGTGATTGATTGTTTGAATTAACCGACAAATAAAGTAGATTAAAAAATCAATCTCCCCCTACCTCTGTCTCTCTCCCGCTCCCTCTCTCTTTCTCTCTCTCTCCATTTCTCACTCTGTGTCTCTCTGTCTCTCTCTCCCTCTTTGTCTTTCTCTCTCTCTCTCTCTGCCCCCATCTCTCTCTCTCTCTATCTTTCTATCTTTTTGTCTCTCTCTCTGCCTCCTTCTCTCTTTCTCTGTCTCTCTCTCTCTCTCTCTCTCTCTCTCTCTCTCTCTCTCTCTCTCTCTCTCTCTCTCTCTCTCTCTCTCTCTCTCTCTCTCTCTCTCTCTGTTTGCCTGTTTTGAAGTTAAAGACGATCTGGTCACACATATTTATCTGAGTGGTCGGATTATTTTGATTTTCACTTATTGGTATTTACACTAATCAATCACAAACAAGAAGCAAAAATGTCTTACCTGGTCAACATCATACTGGCAGAGCGTACAGGTAAATAGGTTGACCTATCAGAGGACGGCAGACAGGTGATCAGGTGACAGATGTGCAGAGCGATTGATGAGCAGACAGGTGAGCGTCGCTGAAGGAGTCTTCTGGCTCCGATCATCTGGCACCGAGGTTTATATATCCATGTAAATGCCACCCAGACTGTGTGTGTGTCTGTGTGTGAGAGCGAGAGAGAGAGAGAGAGAGAGAGAGAGAGAGTCTCAGGTTTCTGTTCATTTTAGCAGGTGAGGAAAATCTCCCACACAGATAAGTATTTCAGTCTTTGTGAGGACTAGTTCTCACCTGGTTATCGCAACACTTTAAATTATTGACCAGTTTACCTGCTACACACACAAAAGTAACTCATCATGTGTTATTTCTTAACACACCTGTGTGTCTAGTTAAGGACAACACATAATGTGTTGTTTTGACACATGACTTTGTGTTGACAGATTTTACACATGTTGTGTGTTAAATGTGTCAACACATCAACTGTGTTTGGTTTACACAAAGATAACACAGAGCTGCGTTATGTATTCTTCACACAAAAGTGTTTTATTTTCATACAATTTACAAATTGCATTGCGCCTTACATCGGATACATCATTCATTCGCTCACACAGTCACACTTTGGTGGTGGTAAACTACCTTAGTAGTCACAGGTGCCCTGGGGCAGACTGACCACCACACAACACTCACAATCATACACCAGTGGAGGACACACACCGGGAGGGAGGTGGGTTAAGTGTCTTGTTAAGTGCCTTATAACTTCAGCACACTTTCACCTAGACCTAATTTTTTCTTTAAAATGTTCATTTTCTTGTTGGATTCACTTTGTTGTGATATCTTTTACAGTTTCATACAATTTAGCTTTAAGCAGCTCGTGGTTTTTAGAAAATTTCAGGCTTTATAATGGGTGTGTATCTAGAGGCTAGAGTGTTTGATTACATCGCTAGAGTGCAGAGGTCATCTTTGATCGACAGAACCTCGCTGGAATATATCGCACCCACGCCCACAAATTTCACTCCACAGCCATAAAAATTACATCAAAATGGAGGTATATGTGTCCTGCTTCTCACAAAAGAGGTTTCAAATCATTAAATCGACTATTTTACGCTTCATAATGCGCCACACATTTTTAATGGGAGACCGGTCTGGACTGCAGGCAGGCCAGTCGAGTACCCACACTCTTTTACTTAGAAGCCATGCTGTTGTAACATGTGCAGAATGTGGCTTGGCATTGTCTTGCTGAAATAAGCAGGGGTGTCCATGAAAAAGATGTTGCTTGGATAGCAGCATATGTTGCTCCAAAACCTGTATGTACCTTTCAGCATTAATGTTGCCTTCGCAGATGTGTAAGTTACCCATGCCTTGGGCACTAATGCACCCCCATACCATCACAGATGCTGGCTTTTGAACTTTGCGTTGATAACATTCCGGATTGTTAATTTCCTCTTTGGCCCGGAGGACACGACATCCACTATTTCCAAAAACAATTTGAACTGTGGACTCGTCAGACCACAGAACACTTTTCCACTTTGCATCAGTCCATCTTAGATGAGCTCGGGCTCAGAGAAGCCAGCGGCATTTCTGGATGTTGTTGATAAATGGCTTTAACTTTGCATAGTAGAGTTTTAACTTACAGATGTAGCGACGAACTGTATTTACTGACAGTGGTTTTCTGAAGTGTTCCTGAGCCCATGTGGTGATATCCTTTACACACTGGTGTCAATTTTTGATACAGCGCCCCCTGAGGAATCGAAGGTCACAGGCATTCAGTGTTGGTTTCCGGCCGTGCCACTTACGTACAGTGATTTCTCCAGATTCTCTGAACCTTTTGATGATATTCTGGACCGTAGATGTTGAAATCCCTAAATTCCTTGCAATTGTACTTTAAGAAACGTTGTTCTTAAACTGTTCGACTATTTGCTCACGCAGTTGTTCACAAAGTGGTGAACCGCGTCCCATCCTTGCTTGTGAATGACAGAATTTTTTGGGAAGCTGCTTTCATACCCAATCATGACACCCACCTGTTCCCAATTAGCCTGCTCACCTGTGGGATGTTCCAAATAGGTGTTTGATGAGCATTCCTCAAATTTCTCAGTATTTTTTGCCACCTTTCCCAACTTCTTTGGCACGTGTTGCAGCCATGAAATTCTGAGTTAATCATTATTTGCAAAAAAAATTATAAAGTTTATGAGTTTGAACATTAAATATCTTGTCTTTGTAGCGTATTCAATTGAATGTAGGTTGAAAAGGAATTTGCAAATCATTTTATTCTGTTTTTAGTTACGATTATCACAATTTCCCAACTTCAATGGAATTGGGTTTTGTACATGCACACACTTTGACCATGTGTCTGCTTCACCACCTATCTTTTCCCATAAACTACAGAAACCATTCAGGGCTTCAAAAATTCAGCTCACTAAGGACATTATGGGGTGTACACAAGATTTCAATTTTTTTTAGATTTCCCAACTTTAAAATGATTCTCATTAATTCTGCATTATTCAATTCTTCTCACAAATTTAAAATCATTCTAACCTTTCTGATGCATCAAACATTCTTATATATGAGGATTTTTAAATTTAAATTTTCCGTTTTCAATCATTTTCACTATTCTTAAAATTATCCAATTCTTCCAACAAAATCCCGATTCTACTACTACAACTACTATTAATATCACTTTAATTAGTACCTTTACTTCTACTTCAACTACTATTGCTACATTTAATACTTTCTTTACTGCTACAATTATTTCTACCACTAGCTCTACTACTTTGACATCAGTTTCTTCTATTCTAAAACTTCTACTACTATAAATATCACTACAAATATCATTACTACCACTACTTATCATCATACTACTACTAGTACTACAACTTAAACTTATGCCACTACTCACTTTCTGTGTTTTAAAGTAATTTCCTTCTTCATTCAAATTTTGTGCAATTTCAAACATTTTTTCCAGCTGTTTTTCGGCATGAATGCAATTTCAATTTATGGAGCGTATTCAGACTATTCATCCGTTAATAATTTTCACATTCATACAACTTCTGCTTCTTCTTCTTCTTTATCTCTTTAACAGCTCTAAGACCTTCCTCCATTTTTTTTTTTTTTGGCAGTTTTGCTTTTTCAGCTTTCAACATTCAGCATTTCCACGCATTTCCTAATGCAATTTTCTAGTTTTGTCTGTTGATATCTTGTCTGTTGATATTTTGTCTGTTGTTATCTTGTCTGTTGATATCTTTTCTGTTGATATCTTGTCTGTTGTATCTTGTCTGTAGTTATCATGTCTGTTGATAACTCCTGAGTTTTCTGTACCAAGATGGTGGATTTCTGTCTCTTTGGGTCCGTTGCCCCGGTAACTGACACAGACCACCATACTTGTTCCAGAGCAGGTTATCAGGATAAGATCTGAGCAGGTAGAAAAGACCGCGCTCTGACCAATCGGATCTCTTGGAAATGACTTGCCCACTTTCACTGGATTCCGTGGACATCCGTGTGCTGGTAGTGAGAGGAGCGCTTCACCAAGAGCGTTATATTCGTGGTCGTTCCAATCTGTCTGATTTACCTGATGACGTTCTCTGTGAAGGTTACACGTTTTCCTCAATATTCAGGTTGAAGTCTAAACGACACACGAAAATTCGCCGAGCTCTGAGTTCCAGTTTCATGCGTAAAATCAAGAGTTAAATATCCGTCCTTGTTTAGAAAACTGAAACCCAAATGTGTCGACAAACGCCATGTGACCATGTGACCATCAGATGACGACATGACCATCAGATGGTGACATGTGACCATCAGATGATGGAGAAAAAATGTCTTTAAAAAAATGTCATGGTACTCCTCGTCTTTGCGTAGAATAACACTCTGTTCCTTAGCAGTGAGGACACACAGACTCCTCCACTGAGGAGATTGGTCCATTGGCACTGACCCCGCCCCCTTTACGTGGGCGCGCAAAGATCTATACTGGATTCAGTTAGCGAGTTGATATCCTGGGAGTATTAATCCGGCGTGATCGTCCCGACCTCAGAGGGTGATTTTATTTTAGGTTCAAGTTTTTTCCTCTCTATCATACACACACACTCACAAACACACACACTTACACACACAAACACACACACACCTGGGAATCCCCCTCTTACAAACACACACACACACGTGGGAACCCCCCTCTTACACACCCACACACACACACACACACACACACACACAGTCAGCAGGTCTGATAAACTGTAATTCAGTAACACAGATTCACCTGGACCAGCAGACCAGAACCACTGCAGACCAGAACCACTACAGACCAGAACCAAACCGACCAACTATATTTGAAACCCACAAAAAATGTGTGTCTTTATGTGTGTGTGTGTGTCTTTATTTGTGTGTATGTGTGTGTGTGTGTTGGTTTTCCTATCTAAATGGCCCCTCTGTTTCCCTCGCTCTTTTTCTGTAAATGGATATCAGACCCTTTTTTCTTTCAGACTCTTTTTTTTTCTTTCAGACTCTATTTTTTACAGCAGAGCCTCTTTGATATCTTATAAGGTCACATTTACACGTTTTTGTTCAGACTCCTCCATTCAGTCATCCACTCATCCCTCTATCACACTACTCATCTCCTCATCCATCCATCCATCCTTTTTTTCTTCCTTCATACCCTGAGGACAGACAGACAGAGGACTAATGTTAAATAAAAGACGTGTTGTTCAGAAAAGAAAGAGAGAGAGAGAGAGAAAGACAGGAAAACCTGAAATCTGATGGAGTCAAAGAGAGGGGGAGAGTGAGAGAGAGAGCGAGAGAGACAGAGAGAGAGAGAGATGGAGAGAGGGTGAGAGAGAGAGAGAGAGAGAGACCAGGAAACAATCAGGTCTTTCTGTAGGGGGCGAGAGAGAGAGAGGGTGTGAGAGAGACATACAGAGAGAGAGAGAGCGTCTTTATACAGAGAGAAAGAGAGAAAGAGAGAGAGAGGGTGTGAGAGAGACATACAGAGAGAGAGAGAGCGTCTTTATACAGAGAGAAAGAGAGAGAGAAGGGTAGAGAGAGGGAGAGCATCTTAATACAGAGGGGGGGTAGAGAGGGAGAGAAAGAGAGAGAGAGAGAAAAGGGGGAAAAATAGAGAGATAG